GACAAGCTAACTTATCGAACAACACTGAATACTAATGTTAATAATTTAAATTTTCCTCAAAGGCCCTATCAATACTAAAGGATTCATTCATCTGTGGACTGCTTACCAGCTAATGTTAAAAATGCACATTAAAAGTGCTTAATGATATTTAACAAAACTACACAAACTACTAAAAGTGAAAAGAAACCCTTATGAAGGCACAAATGACTTGCACTCTTGAAATCTGATGTTGACAGCACATTTACACAAAATCCTCAACTAAATTTATATTCCAACTACAAAATGACATCTCATAAAACCAATTTGTTTTTGGTGCAGAGAGAAAGTACTGGCCTTCCAGATTCAAAGTACTGCCTTCGATAGCACTTTTTCCCTTGAATCATTTTCTAAATATTTGTTCAAAAATATTTGTAGCTCATAAAACCTGATGGGATTTTTAAAAGGATATGATCATATTGCACTCTTACAACAGATGTAACAGAATTGTGCTTTAAGTACTTTTTGCACGCACAGAAATTACTTATGAACAATCTGTTGTCGTTTGCTTTTAAAAAGATTAAACAGCACCGTTGGGGGAAATCTGCCCTTTCTTTCAGCTGAGGTAGCAATTCTCAGTGACATGATTATAATCACTAAGACCTGGAAGATAAAGCCGTGATCAGCTACTATTAGCCAACATAAATAATTCCGTGTCAACCACTGTTAGTTACAGCAGATGTGAGGATTAAAGCTAGTAACCTAAAGATTGCTGAATCCCTATAGCCCTTTAATATGCCTCTCAACCATCCAGTTCTCATGGCCTAGATAGGGTTATTTGGGGCTTAAGTTCGAATATGTTAACTTTACTTAAAAGATGGCATCTCAGCTGCCAAGCTGAAAGATGACTGAAACAGACAGGTCACCTAAAAATCTAGTAAGCTTTATTTTCACAGTAGTGAGTTAGCAATTCTAAAATTACTTTCTATGTATTCTAGTCATGAGCAAATGAATAAATATTTTGAATCCTCAATGGCAGCCAGGTTTCTTTCTGTTAAAGGAGTCACAAATATGGAAAAGGGAGAAACTAGAAAGCAGTGCTTGACTGGAGTTGAATATATCAGTACAAATTCACAGTTTTTAGTAGCTAGAAATAAATATTTTTGTACGTATCTGTCTGTTGAGAGAGATGACTACAAGCCATGACACACCAGTAGCAATGAGCAAACCTGACAAGTAGATCTTGGTTCCTGAATACCATTCTACGTGGAAAGGAAGCAGAGCTCCTTGGAGAAATAGCTAATTGCAGGGCTAGAGTGGGAACAGTACAAGATGAGCCGGAACATCTTGTACCAGAAAGTAAGAAAGGCCCCAAAGAATGATGAGGACACAAGTAAAGGACATAGACATCCTGGGGCTCCCATTGGTCAAATCTGGGACAGTGAGAACATCAAAATAAGTAACAACAGTAACAGTATTTGGTTTGTTGACTAAGAATCCATGAATTCATTCTGTTACAAATAAACAAATGAATGGGGGAGAAAGGAAAATGCTTTCTTTCAGTAGAATGTCAACTAATAGTTAGAAAATCAGTCACTCAATGATAGGGAGGAGGAACAGGTTTAAGTGTCCCATGGTAAAGCATTCAGTCTCTATAGCACCTACTGACATGAAAGAGCTGTTTCTCAATAAGGATACGATTCTCTGCTGCAGATGATATCACCTTGCTCCAGAATCCCAGGGGCCCATATTGTGACTCTTCCACTGGACTTGCCATAAATTCCACACTACATCTTTTCCCACCACTGACACACTATGGTCTGCTGGGTCATATGATCCAAGTGTCAGGGCTGCTTGCATCTGAAGCTGGGAACTGCTGCAGAGCCCTTTCCTGCTCTGGCCCCTGTTCAGAGCTGGCAGCCTTCCACTTCACTTGGTGTATGATGAGCTGGTGCATTACTCCTAGATGTGGAATACTAGTGCTATACTTCCTTATTGGTGTAGAGGCTGTAAGATGCAGCAATTTGTCTTTCACTTCGGAGAGGATACCTCGACACTGCCCTGAACACTGGACCTCTAAAAACTTTACTGTGACTGGTCTCTGAATCTTCAGTGTTTTTCTCCCATCCTCTGGCACTCATGTATCTTACCAAGGCCTTCACCATACCACCTCTTCCTCATCCTGTCCAACAAGTAGGATGTTGTCAACAAACTGGATCAGTGTGGTGTTCTGAGGGATGAGATGGTCCAGAGTTCTTCATATTATGACTGAGAGTGAGAGTTAGCACAGTCTGAGGCAGAACTCAGCCTGAATATTTTTGTCTGTTCTACATGAAGGTGAACTATTTCTGATCCTATTTTCCAACTGGATTGGTATAAAAGGTAGTTACCAAATCAGAGTACATACCATGTATCTGTATTGATCTGCTCTAGCAGTGAGTCCAGCACAGCAGTTGAGAGCAGGGTTGTATGGTTACTGTCTAGGATCTATTCAGTTTCTTTAAGGATCAGTCAGCAAATTAAAAGATAGGATTGGGACCACCACTCCTCCATCCTTCAGGTTTTAAATAGTGGGACTAATTTCCATTATTCCTCCAGAATACAATATTGTGTCTGATTTACTATCTTGGCAGGAGTGAAAGGCAGTTTGTGTTTTACTTGGCTCTCCTCACTATGACAGCTTAGTCCACGGACCCAAGCACCCTTAAAATCCAACCCCAAGAGTGCTCCCTGGTTCTTGCTAGCATGTCAGCATGTCCCAGCTGGGTTATGTAGGGATTCAATACTAGTTACTGGCTTGGCAGCCACTATAGAAAGTAGGGAAGTTGGAGAAGGTGGGAGAAAGGACCACTGCCTGCGGCAACAAGATTTTTTATCTTCCAGCACAGCAGACACGCTCATTAGACCAGAGGGCCCAGAGGGAGCTGCAGGGGCATTCATTCAGACCCCATCCCATGTTCAGAATCCCAGGTTTCTGTACCTTTACATCAATAGACCAGCCTGGTCTAAATATTCAGTGCTCCAATGTCTCTGGAGCTCTGTGACTCTTAGTTAGCCTTAGAACCTGTAGTTCAATGGAATCTGCCCTACAGGTGATAAAGCCCTCTTTATAAGTTAACACAGAGCCTCTCATACTTAGCTATTAACTGCTTAACAGTCCCATTTCTCATTTTTCATCTTTAGTGTTTAAATATGTTAACAACCAGCTAACTCTGCTCTCATTGCAGGAATTATTTTCAAATGCCTGCATCACACTTACCACCATTATTTCCCTCCACTGGGACATGATTCTAAGTCAACACTGGTGAAATTATGCAATTAAGCTGCAAAGTTATGCCAGGGATTATGACTGCTCCATCTACCAACCAAGGTGGCATCTTCTCGGTCAGGTAATTGATGGGACTGTTGCAATTTTACTCCAGAAGCAGATGTCAAGATAGGATTAAATGTGTAAGACTTTTTATGAGGGAAAACACCTGTGAGAGAAGATGGGGAAGGAGCTGGGAAAGAACTGGTGGACTATCATACTAGGATGCAAGTTTGACCCCAAATGTCAGAGAGAGGGAAGGAAGTTTGGGTGGAAGTGTACCAGACTGCCATGTAGCCTAAGGAAGGGTTGGCAAAGCAATGGGGCATGTCCTTGAGCCTAAGTTGGCTATTAGAAGAGTCTTGTGTCTCCTAAAGTCTCTATGATGCTCAGTTGCTGAACTGTGACAAAAGCAAGGTCTTAGCACAAACACAGTGATGGATTTCACAGCATAGCAAGCAGCTGGGGCCCTTGGTGAATTAAAGCTCCCTGTAGTTGGAGGTCTGTGAGGTACATTCTTATAGCAGCAGCATCCTAGCAAGAGGCAGAGCTGGGATTCAAACCAGGTAGTTCGGTTTGAGTCTATACTCTCAACCACTGAACCGGAAGGCATGTCTTGGAATTACAGAAGTCTGAAATAAATCTATCATGCAAAAGATTTATAAGGAGTCTGGGCCAGACTAGTAGGATCTCTACAATCCTCTAAGGAGTTTGTATCTCATTCTGCAGACAATAAAGTGGGGGATACAGGGCAAGGCCACATCACAGTTAACATATAGGACTATATCCCATATGCATTACATACATGCATGAGTAATTTACAGACCGATGTGTAGCTTTGAGTTCTCTGTGGTGTAAAAGGATTAGCAGATTTAAAGGCAGATGCAACAAAAAGTGATCCTGTACTGTATGTAAGATATGTCATGCTACATATATGGTAAAATGGTCCAAAAAATGCTGACAAAGCATTCATACCTTCCAGGATATAAAAGTTTGAAAAAAAAAGACCAAGACAAATTCATTTCCTGTAACTCTTTTTTTTTGAGACGGAATTTCACTCTTGTTACCCAGGCTGGAGTACAATGGCGTAATCTCACCGCAACCTCCGACTCCTGGGTTCAAGCAATTCTCCTGCCTCAACATCCCAAGTAGCTGGGACTACAGGTGCGCACTACCATACCCAGCTAATTTTTTTTTTTTGTATTTTTAGTGGAGACGGGGTTTCACCTTGTTGACCAGGATGGTCTTGATCTCTTGACCTTGTGATCTACCCGCCTCGGTCTCCCAAAGTGCTGGGATTATAGGTGTGAGCCTCCGTGCCCGGCCTCATTTCCTATAACTCTTTATAAACTCTTACTGTGGTACAAAGCAATCAAAAATTCATTGAATTTTTACTGTTTTAAAAATTTTATTAATTTATGTTTTTGAGATGGGAGGTCTTGCCTTGTTTCCCAGGCTGGTCTCAAGCTCTTAGGCTCAAGAGATCCTCCTGCCTCAGCCTCTCAAAGTGCTGAGACTACAGGCGTGAGGCACTGTGTCTGGCCACTATTTATTACCTGTATTAAAAATTCTACCATTTTTTACACAGAGGCACTATTGTCACTTAGGCTGTGTGTCAAATCTGCATTTACAGGCTAAATGAAGAACTTAACTACTATTGATAATATTAATTATGTGACAACCTATGTTAGCTGCCAACAATCAACTTACAAATAAATTCTATGCAATACAACCTTTATTATCAAAAGGAAGTTACATGTTTATTACAATAAACAGGTATTATTAATACCATTTTATAGCTATAAGAATCTAGGCATAACGTTTCCTTGACCCACATAATGAGATAAAATATAAATCCAGAACTAGAGATAATATCAGAGTCCTATACACCTATATTCATTAACAGTACAACTCTACAAGTGTGGCATAGTCCTACAATAGAATATTAAAACCTAGAGATTAAAAAAAACAAACAAAATTGGTCCAACTTTCTTGAAGGCAGAAACTATTATCTGCTTATTACAGAAAGTGGAAAATTAGTTGATCAAGGGCAAATCTAAGAACTTAGGAGAACTTCAAATTCAAAGCCTCTAGAAACTCATCAAACTCACCAGTATTACTTATCATACTTCAAGAAGACATATATAAAACAGAATGGAGTTTCTGATTTCAGACTGTTTCACTTCCTTACTTTAAGCCAGGAAGGCTAAAAACATAAACTCAGCAGAAGCAATTAAAAAGTAAGTGAGGGACAAGGATGTGTAAGTGATGGTTTAGGAAACTATATTTATAGCCTAGTATCATTAAATTTTTGTTTATTTTTTTAAACTAGATTCCAAATATACACATTATACTGAGAGCTTTTTAAAGACACAAACTAGCTTTTAGAATTAGACTTTGGGATGCAATTCCAAATGATTTTTTTCTTTGTTCTATAGCTCTGAATGAGAACTAATGGTTCTGAATAGAGATTTAAAAATGAACATAAAAATTTGGATCAGTGGGAGAATTTTACTTGTAACTACTTGTTACATATCAGGGGTCTCTATGTAAACTTCTGAGACTCAAACATTTTACCGACAGACAACCTATATCCCATCTTATTTTACAAAGCATTGTGATGTCTTCCTATGTGAACATATACGATAATGTTAAAGGATATCTGTTCTACGAAAAGTGTATTTAAAAAGAAATACAAGTATGCAGGTCAGGATGAATGTTAAATATGAACTTCAAATTTGGCTCTTGAGCTTCCTAACAAAATTCTATCAAAAGGTGGCTTCCAAAACTATTCTTAAGCATCACATACTAATATATCTTACACAGGACTTTATATAAGCAACACTGAGGCTGGGTGTGGTGGCTCACGCCTGTAATCCAAGCACTTTGGGAGGCCGACGCAGGATTGTTTGAGGCCAGGAGTTTGAGACCAGCCCTGGCAACACAGCAAGACCCCATCGCTAATAAAATAAAAAAATAAAAAAATTAAAGGGCACAATATGACACAGAGCACTATACCCTTGACAGCATCATATAGCAAACACAGCTAAAAATTTCTGCATGGTTACTTTAAGCAGTTAGCTTAGGTGAAGGCAGAAGGTTCAAATTAAAATGCTATTTGGTGAAGGTAATCGTGCTAGGGGCTGCTTTTGCAATACAAAGTTTTTACACTGAAGACTTCTTAAACATGAATTAGAGTCTTCAAAATGGGATTGCAAATCTAATTTAATGGCTAGGAGAACCCAGTATAGAAATAAGAAGTCACCTGATATAGCTAAAAATCATTTAGGGACAGGCCTAATATTTGATCCTCTAGATTCAGCCAGAAAGTTTCGGGTCTCTTACAATTTTAGCAGGACTTCAACCCAAGGCTTCAGATTTACTGGAGATTTTAATCCTCCAAAAGGAAGGTTCTAACTACAGGGAATTAGTTTGCAGCATGTGACATTCTGAAGATTAAGGATTGTAAATATGAAGTTTTGGAGTTAAAAAAGCAAACACCCAATTTTCAGTATTATGTCAACAAAATTCTATAAACTACCCAAAACAGCAATATATAATCACCTATATTGACTGTGCTCAAAAACACAATGAATTGATTTTAAAATGTATGGAAATGGCCATGGGCAGCAAGGAATAATCAATAAGAGAAGCATCTACTATCTAATCTTTCTCCTGCAATCTGTGTTTGGAATCACAGGCTGCAAGGTATCTAGTGAGGGCATCTAGTCTGCATATACACTCTTATCCCATTTTCAAAGATCTCTATTTAGATCTCTAGTCTAGCTTGCTCTAATCTTAAATAGTAGCACCTACAGTCTAGGACAAATTCCTTTTATTTTATCAATGAAAATAATGAATCGCTACTTTCCTTTAAATACTTTTACAAATTGGGAAATCATTAAGTAACTAGTCTTCTCTCATTAATGAGATAACTACAATTATTTTAGCCTTTCCCCAAACATCTTATTAATCTTTAGATCTCTTCTTACTAGGGTATTTCATCAGTTTCAAAACATACTTCAACAGTTTGGTACTTTATTACAAGCTTCACAAATAACCAGGGTTTACATTATTTCATAATTCCTTCAAACATTCTCAGTTTTATTTGTAAGCAGCAATGCTATATCGTGAAGTCAATTATTTAAAACAATGTTCTAGGTATTGGGGTAACTGACCTCATATAGCTTACATTCTAGAAGGAAAAATAGTGAACCAGTAAACAAGATATCAGTTTGAGGTAAGAGCTGTGGGGAAAAAAAAATAAGTTATAGGGATGGAGATGTCTTTTGTAATAGGTAGCACTTCATTTGAAACCTCTAGGAAGGCCCTGCAAAGATATGAAAAGAATGTTTTAAGCAATTTTTGGCTAATGAAGGTTTAACAAGTTATTCTGCTGTATATTTATACACATTCCTTCCAAATTATATAACCTTGTATTGTTCCCTACTGAATCTTGTTTTTACTTTGAAGACTAATTCTATCTTTTATAAGCTTTTCATTATCTCCTTTAATTGGTATATTCCATAAGTTTAAGGTGCATGCCTTCTAATTTAAACAAGCATTTCTTAATAATATTAACTAACATTTAGTTTAGGAGGTGTTTCTGCTCAATAACACTTAATCATGGTTGAAAAAATAATAACTCAAAGAACTTACAGGATAGGCCTAAATGAGTTTTCTAGAAAATAATCTGGTCATACTTTGCAGGGAAAACAGGCTGAAACAGGCAGAGTATGATCCATTCAGAAGATGAGGCTAATGGGACCGTGAACCATTGATGGGATGGTCTAACAGCAGGGAAAGAGCCCAACAGAGAACTGAGAGGTTTATAATGTCATTCAAGTGGGATGAAGAAGCCAGTCAACTGGCAAGTTAGAGAAAACCTTCCCCAGCACATTAGCTCTCTGAGACATGCTGCCACCACCTGGGCAACAGGCAATTTTGAAGTTTGGGGGGATTTTAGTTATTATCTGTTAACAATTATAGAATCAAAAAACATACCCTCATTTTATAAAATCAGCATTTTTGTCAAGAAAAATAAAAGACAAAAAATGCTGATTTCATAAAATGGAAGTATGCTTTCTGATTCTACAATTGTGTTGTTTTTTTGATTTAAAAAGAGCAGAGATTTTGGCCAGATGTATTTTAAAAAATACTGTTTTATTTTTAACAGTCTCTGGTTTCCTACCTGTAAAATGAGTATAAGAATACAATCCTGTGGGGTTGTTTAGTCTCAGGATTAGTAATAATAACTGTGAAGCACCTAGCCCAGCACCTGGTACATACTATTATTCATTAATAGCTTTTTTTTTTTTTTTTTGAGACAGAGTTTAGCTCTTGTTGCCCAGGTTGGAGTGCAATGGCCTGATCTCTATTCACTGCAACCTCTGCCTCCCAAGTTCAAGCGATTCTCCTGCCTCAGCCAGCCAAGTAGCTAGGATTACAGGCATGCACCATCACACTCGGCTAATTAGTGGAGACGGGTTTCACCATGTCAGTCAGGCTGGTCTCGAACTCCTGAACTCAGATCATCTACCCACCTCTGCTTCCCAAAGTGCTGGGATTACAGGCATAAGCCACTGCACCTGGTCACAATAAGTAGCTTTGAAAAAATTCTTCTTCTTCAGTATAAACTTTCAAATATTGCTAAAATCTGATTACTCAAAAAAAAAAAAAAAAATTACTGGCCGGGCACAGTGGCTCATGCCTATAATCCTAGAAATTTGGGAGGTGAGGTGGGCAAATCACCTGAGGTCAGGAGTTAGAGACCTGATTGCCCAACATGGTGAAACCTAGTCTCTACAAAAAAAAGCCAGGCATGGTGGTTTGTGCCTATAGTCTTAACTACTCAGGAGGCTGAGACAGAAGAATTGCTTGAACCTGGAAGGTGGAGATTGTGGTGAGCCAAGATTGCACCACTGCACTCTAGTCTAGGCAAGAGAGCGCGACTCTGCCTCAAATAAATAAGTATCACATAAATGTGCCTATTATGAAATGTATTTGCACTATGTTTCAATGGAAGAAAACAACCTCACAAAATAAAATTTAGGAAAAGAACCAATTCCATCAATGTAAGATGCAGGTGAGAGCACTCTCAAAGTCTTTTAGTCAAGACTAAATTGTTACTAAACTATATTATCTTAAAATAATATTATCTGAATCTTATTCTGGTTTCACTACTTACAACTTTGACATGGGTTAGAATGACATGTAATTTTGTACCAACCAAGGGAAAAATACTTTTTAAGCAAAAAAATGGCATATGACTGCCACAGGGCTTCCATTCTCAAAAGAAAAAAGAATTTTATAAGGCTCTACTTATAAAATATAATTGCAATAGAGTACACTAGTGCTGAAGAGGCTGATGGTGTGATATACTACACAGGAATTATCTTATGCAAAGGCAGGCCCTACTTAATTAACAGCATAAGGTTTAGTTAATTTGGTTTAACTTACATGAATAAGATTTTATATTTTGGAAGTAAATCAGACCTTACTTCCTTGTTATTCTAAATTGGTATTCTGACAGATAGTTGAGAGAGAATGAAAACCTGATTAAGAATCTTTTCAAAGAAATAAGATCTCAGCCTGGAACAGTGGCTCACACCTGTAATGCCAGCACCCTGAAAGGCGCCTTTGCAGGAGAATCACTTCAGGCGAGGAGTTTGAGACCAGCCTGGGCAAAACAGTGAAACCCTGTCTCTACAGAAAAAAATTTAAAAAAATAGTTGGGCATAGTGGCATACATCTGTAGTCCCAGCTACTCTAGAGGCTGAGGTGGGAGGATCCCTTGAACCCAGGCAGTCAAGGCTGCAGTGAGCTGTGATAGAGCCACTGCACCTAGCCAGGGTGACTTAGTGAGACCCTGTCTCAAACAAACATCACTGAAACTCATTCTCTCTAGTTGGGCTTGACTTAGAACTGAATACATTAAGCAAAAAATTAACACTGGTCAGTTTTTAAAAACAGTGAGAATGCTAAGCTGGATACAGTGGCTTGTAGCTTATAGTCCCAGCTACTCAGATGGTGAGGAGGAAGGATCCCTGGAGCCCAGGAGTTCAAAGAGGCAGTGAGCTATGACAGTGCCACTGCATTCCAGCTAGGCCAGAACAAGACAATGTTTTTTAAAAAAAAGACCTTAGGAAAACTTGCAATGATGTTTATATCAAATATCTTACTATGCTATTTATTTAAGCCAGATAAATGACCAAATCCAGTCCAATTTACAGATTTTAAAGCTGAAAGGGCATTGGAGATGGCCTACTATGCTTTCTACATACCTAAGTAGAAACATGCTCAGAGTGATTTATCAGAGTATACATATCATTACTCAACCAAGACTTGTGAATCTTAGTTCACGAGCTCGACTCTCTCAGAAGCAGCACACAACCTAGATCCCAAGCACTTGCTGTTCACAATAGGGTTCGCACCATGAGAATCTAATGATGCTGCTGATCTGACAGTAGGCAGAACTTAGGCAGAGATGCTCACTCACCCATCGCTCACCTCCTGCTGTGTGGTCCAGTTCCTAACAGGCTACAAAGCAGGTACCAGTCTTTGGCTGGGGTCTACATTACAGCTAAAGAGCTACAGAGGCTTTCTCCTTATGTGCCCTTTCTTCCTGCCCAAGACTTCTGTGCTTTTAACCAGGGATGCAGCACTGCAAGTATCCAGAGGCAGTAACTGGGAAAACCATCTACCATGATTAAAACACGTGTTGGCCTCCAGAATGATGAATGTTAAAATAATACATTCTGATCACATCTTGAATTCACGACTTGGGGAAGTTTCAGAAAAATCAGTTACCTCTAGTAAGTATTTAGTGCACACAATCCAGTGACTGAGTCTGCTTTTTTCTGGCTATTAGAAGTACAGGCTAGGCCTAAGCAGCATAGGCTTTGAAACTATCACCTAGGTTTTCAAATAAAAATGAGTTAGAAAACACTGCTGGTAATACAACATTATAAACATTAACATATGCCCGAGGAACAGTATCATAGATGGTTAGATTATCTGCCAAAAGCCTGTTCCCTAGTAAATAATACTTATTGTTTTACCTAAACTAGTTAAACATGTCGTATCTTGCTCCTCAAAGAGAACATTCTATAGTCTTTGGAGAATTAAACAGTGAAGAGTCTTGCAACATTTGTCAGAGGTAGTCAAACAATGCAAGCAATCACAAAATTTGGTCACCAAGCAAACCAAAGCTAATCTTTCAGTTCCTGTAGATTAGAAGACAGCATTAACTCACTTTCTCTTTCTGCATGTTGACTTTTGCATCCCTTTATTTGTGTAATGAAAGAACAAGCACCTCTATGGGAACTCAGTGCCCTGACAGTTTAATTACTTGTCAAGTTTACTCTGGGCAGGTATTGATCATTCTTTCGTGAAATGAGTTAGGTACTTATTAAAAACAAACAACAAAACCCTCCTTTTCACATAGCATGGCGGCATTTCCCTTGGTAACAAGGTTGAGTGGATCCACCAAGGCCCAGCAGCCTGCCCCCTTTACCTAAGAATTGTAACTACTGTCCACCCAGAAGAGAGGCGTGAGGTGGGATGTGAACCAGAATGAACTCGTCGGAATCGTCAAGAGTCGTTGTGTGACCCTCACCTTGGCTTCGGGCAGTTTGTGGGGACCCAACTGCTTTCTTGCCGCCGCTTGAGTTTCCCGCAGCCAAACACCTCACCCACCCGGGACCCTCCAACTGTCCGGCTAGAGCAGGGGATGGGGGTTGTCTGTCGATCGACATCGGGGTCAAAGGCTAAAGTCCATAGCCGCTTCGGAACCGTTCGAGTCCTGAAGCCGCTCCACGCCTCCTCGGTCACCACCTGGTCCCCGCAGGACGCGGTAGTCTCGGGCTCCAGCCCGGAAGGGAGCGCGGTTGCCCTCACCCGCCCCGCGCGGCCTCACCTGCCGCTCCCCGGATATCTCAACACCGCCCTGTCCCCGCCCCGCACCCGCCCACGTCCTATAAGTAGAGGTCCCAAGCCCCACGCAGCAATGGCGCAGCCGGAAACTGACCCCTGGACTTCCTCCCGCTCGGCTGGCGGGTCAAGACGCCTGTGGGCGGGACGCAAAGGCCGCGACTTCCGCCTTCCTGCTTCCGGTCAGGCGGTGAGTCGGGAGTGGGATCCGAGCCCCTGGGGAGATGTAGAGAGGGCAGGTGACAGCCGCGGCAGTGCTTTTCTCCCGGTACCCAGCAGAAACGGCGGAGGCGCCGAGTGTGGCGGGGCCAACCCAGGATCCCCCGGCTCTGCGCTCGCAAGACGAGGGGCTCGCTCTTGCTAAGGCCGAGGGGCAGGGGTGAACGTGGCTCCCGTGCGTCTGCGGCCCGGATAGGGTAAGGAGGGAAGAGTGAGCAAGGGAGAAACGTTAAGAAAGAAGGGAAAGACAAAGGAGGAAGTGCGGATGGTCGTCTAGTGCCATCAGCTGCAGCTGCATGGCCCACGCGGATCTGGTTGGGAGATCGAACCGGGTCGATCTGTTTCGGGAGGAAGAGTAGGATTTATTCCTGAAAGTGGGAGGCGGGGGCGTTTGGGTCCGAAGTTGAGGTGCAGGGAGATGTGTGGCCTGTGGACCATGGCTATTTTACAGCAAAGTTCTTTTGCTTATCTCTGAAACTTAAATTGGTTATTCGCTACTGGTCTGGAGAAGGTGAAGGCAGGTCGATCTCAGTAGTACCTAATTCTGGCTGTATGGGAGAGGTCGTATGAAGTCTGGGAGCTAAGATATTTAACGTATTAGGCACTTTCATATGTGTTCAGTTGAAAATCGTGGGAAGATACAATAAAACCAGTTTTCCTGGGGTAATAGGATTGTGGGTGGATTAGTATAATTTGTTTTGGTTATCTCATTTTCTAAGAAAAGAACATAAATTGTATAATAGACCCCCCAAAACCTTTGAGTAAGGTAAGGTGTTTGATTTTTTTAGTGGTGTACCTAATTCAGTAAAGGAATGAATGGCAACATTTTTAGTATAAAAAGTTCAAAATATAGGAATGGGTGTGGTATCAGTGAGCCAACTTGCCTCCTATATGTCAGTGAACTAAAAAAATTTTATTATTGAAATAAGTAACTTAGTAAAATACTTGATTTCCAGTAATTAGGATTTTCTTACAGGGCATTTGCAATTGTAAATTCAAATGAGGAAGAAACAGATATGAAGTTACTGTAACTTACAGGCAATTTTACATGTCATATAGGTTTCTTATATACAATACAGAAATTTTCCATTTAAAATTTTATTAAGTTATCCTGAAAGTTGTGACTTAAATTTTGTTTTCTTTTTTGTATTCTCTCCAACTCACCAACTGTACAGAATTTAAACCATCTCTCAGATGTATACAGTAGAACTCAAGAAGACAGACAATCAAGGGTCATCTGAATCGTGATTGGGTCACTGATAATACCAGGACAAAGTTAGAGATCACTACTGAAGCATAAGGTAGATGATTCTTTAAAAATTCCAGTTGAAATTGTAAGAGGATGTATATACACTCATTCCCTACCCAGGTATTCTAAGTCTGCACTTTGAAAAGAAGTGGACACAAACATGAAAGGTAGAAAAGCCCTGGGGCAAAATAGAAAAACGTCACTCAAGTCACATAATCCTCATTTGCCGGATGCCTTTTCTTACACTCAAAAAGGAACAAAACACATGGCATCTGTTAAGGCTACTTTTTTCATTTATTAAATTAGGCTTATTTTAACAGGGGTCCTCAAAGCTGAAAGGGCATAAAATAGCTCAGTACTTTTTGCTTATTTGGCATATTAATGTGATGTCATGACTCCTTTACCCTCTCTTTCCCATTTCTGGAAATAGCCATCTCGCCTCCTCTGTGAGCATTTCACATGTTTTGTGGCTTGTCATTTTCAAACGCCAAATTTGCTGATTTGTATTTTTGTTAATTAGTCATACTAAGGATATGTCAAAAAATAACAAACTGTATTAAGCTGTTTTCTGGAATGACCATAGAAAACTCAAGATTCTTTTAAAAGTCTCCTGTTAAAGTTTGTCTTGAATATGGGAGGCATGTGAAAATGCATAGTCCTTATGATAAAGTCAGATGGCTCTTTCTAATCTTCTATAACTTTACATCTTTGAAGTGCCACTATTCTGGCTGTCTAGATGAATTACTTTTTCCTAACTCGGGATACTAGTCTTTATTACATTAGTACTAATTAGTACTTTTGAAAAAAGCAAACTGAGTGATAATGGAATTCTGAGTTAACTGGTTGTATGATGAAACTTTTTCAAAATTTGATTAACCGCAGTTTTTTTTTTGTTTGTTTTTTTTCCCTCTGTGTTCTCCACCCCCTTCCCCCAGCCCGTTTTCATAAGACTGCTATGAAGATGTTTGATATAAAGGCTTGGGCTGAGTATGTTGTGGAATGGGCTGCAAAGGACCCATATGGCTTCCTTACCACTGTTATTTTGGCCCTTACTCCACTGTTCCTAGCAAGTGCTGTACTGTCTTGGAAATTGGCCAAAATGATTGAGGCCAGGGAGAAGGAGCAAAAGAAGAAACAAAAACGCCAAGAAAACATTGCAAAAGCGAAACGACTAAAAAAGGATTGAAGGACTGAACAGTCTCTGCAACTAGGGAAAATCATTTGGAAAATTATGCATCTTTGGAAGAACCCATTGAAGTTCTTTGGATTTTTTTTTTTTTTTTTTTTTTGAGACGGAGTTTCGCTCTTGTTACCCAGGCTGGAGTGCAATGGCGCGATCTCGGCTCACCGCAACCTCTGCCTCCTGGGATCAGGCAATTCTCCTGCCTTAGCCTCCTGAGTAGCTGGGATTACAGGCACGCGCCACCATGCCCAGCTAAGTTTTTTTGTATTTTTAGTAGAGACGGGGTTTCACCATGTTGACCAGGATGGTCTCGATCTCTTCACCTCGTGATCCACCCGCCTCAGCCTCCCAAAGTGCTGGGATTACAGGCGTGATTTCTTGACAGTATTTAGTAAATGAAATTTGACCAAATGGAAGAATCATGTTCTGACCTCAATACTGTAGTGACTTTTAGGCTTGGGTGTAGAAGTGTATAGGTTTCTATTGACAGTTATTGTAAATTAGCGTTTAATATGGTAAATATTCCTTATAACCGACTTAGTAATTTGCTGCTTAGTAGATTATGTACTGAAATGAAGACATCCTATAGGGAAAAATGAGTTTAGATTATGAACTCAATTCAAATGAACTCTATTTAAAATGAGGTCCTGTTTTGGACAAAGGAAATTAAAAATGTAAAAGAACTGTCCTGTCTGAGGTAAAAAGTGTGCTTTGGCTTAAAAGAGATACAGTATATTAATTACATCTATTATTATTATTGCTTATTTCTTAGAGTCATTTCTGGCTTTCTCAAAACAATAATATTAATGAGTACTTCTGTTTGCTGCATTTTCTTATTTTAGCCTTTGAGACAGCTGGGAATTATCAAGACATTTTGCATTTTTTAAAATGTGATTTTATAAAGAATTATCTTTACTATTTAGAATACCACCTATTGGATAGAACAATTTTTGTACTTAAACACTGCCATTTTCATAGAGATGGCTTTTTGAGAGGAGTAACACTATGGTTAGAGCTTGCAGTAAAAATGCCAAACACTGTAGTAACTTGGAACCAGGTTATTCTTATGCTAAGCAGAACTGTAAAATAGTGTCTTATCAGGGAATTCGCTGATTACATAGACACCACTTTTGTTTTTTATTTCATTCTTTAACTCGTAGTGATATTTAATACTTTCTGATCAAACAGGTTCAAAGTGAAACTTTGAATTTCTGTTAAAGAACTCCTCAAGAGTAACAGTGAAGTCATACTTCATAAGTGGTAAAGAAAGGTATAAAGTTTGTAAACATTTTGTTGGGTATAGTAGTAATTGGGTGAAAAGGATAAATTATATCAAAATGAGAATGTGCTGTAACTGGAATTAACGAGCTAAAGGATGTTTCTTTCAGTTAAGTAGTATAACTGGAACATTTTACTATTAAACATGGCTTTTATAAATGCATGGCCCATTAATTTTTATTCACTGTTAGTATTTAATTCACTGTCAGCTTATTAATGTTTTCTGTACCCTGATAATGAATTTTAAGGTATAAAAAATTGTCCTGCAGCTACAGTTTAAAAAATTAAACTAGATATTAAAATAAATTTGATAATTTTTTATAAAGAGGTCCTGGATTTTTTTTTTTTTTATGGGACTAACGTCTTAAGTTACATTATGTTATGCAGGTTAGAATTTCAGTTACAGCTAAGCATACTTGTAAAACTTAAGGGCTATATTCCTTAGAACCTAAGGACCACTGAGAATGTTTATGGACCAGTTTGAATAACAATGCTATTTAGATTATCAGCCTCTGATATGTCTAAAATTCATTTGGTTTTCTGCAATCAAGCTGTTCATGGAAATAATTTATATACATGTTTTACTTATGGTCACATTTTAGAGTAAAAGTATTGAAGCAAAGGATATAGTCATAATTCTCATTTATCTACTAAAGTTACGGTTTCATCAGTTCTGTTCTAACAACTTAAAGATATTTAAGTGTTTTTCTGTAATTTGTAAGTCTTAACAGATGCCAATTTTGTATTTGTCGTATACTGTTTTTGTTTTGTTCACTTTTCCCAATCATTTAGACAGCCTTTCTATATATGTGAGATCAAGATTTTTCTGTGTGTGTGTGTGTGTGTGTGTGTGTAAGGGGTCAGAGAGTATAGGGAGTATTATGAGGTTTGGGATTCTTCAGAAAAATCATCACCCACTGCAACAGAGCACTGTTGTTAAATAATCCCATTAACTATTATCTGGAATACTAGAAATGATATCTTGTATTGTTTAATACCTAGAGACTGTTTACCTATTATGCTGTTTCTGAAGTTCTGAGAACTAAGTACAATCAATTACCTTTCTAAAGCTGGTTTTGGAGGAAAAAGCTGTCCCCAGGCTGCCTGTAACAAACATTTTATCAAAAATAAGCAAAGTTTATGTGCCAGATCTTGAACCATAATATCCATATGATAAATTTCAGCATGTTACTACTTACCGGATATATAAGGACATTTAAAATTTCACTTCTTTATAATAAGTGAACTAGAAATAAGCATAGGAAGCTGTGGGCTGGAAACCTGATGTTGAAATAGACCTTTTATTTTATATAGTTCTAAATTGGAGGAAATTTGATCCTATTTAGGAATGATTGCTTTTATATTTGTTACTGGTTATAGAATCATGCTGATTTACTTCATATCTGGAATACATGTTTAAGGACAAACTCACATTTCTCAAACATATTAAAAGAGATTACATGGTTAAATACCCGAAGTTTGGGAAACACATGTACAACTTAGACAAATTTCTTTTTTGGATGATCTCTTGGAGTCTTTTAACTTGACTACCATAGATTGTCCTCTATACCTCTCTTTCTCCAAAGAAATTAAGTACAATTTGGGAAAGCCTACTCTTAATAAACTCAGGTTACATTTAAATAGCTCAGTCAATGATGTAGCATTTAAACAACATAATGGTATTGATTCCAGGTTAAGTAAACAAATAACATCCAGAGATCTGTTAGTAAGAATAGGAATGGAAAATGATTATTTCCTACATTTTTGTTGGTTTTTAACCTCAGGTATATAAGGCATAGCTAACAAGCCAGGTTTATGTAATTAAACCCAGTAGCGTTTCTGTACTTTGTCAGTTTGTGTAATACTAAACTATTTTTGTAAAAACCAAAAGTATGTATAACAGGAGAGGCATGGAATGGAAGGCTTTACTTCTAATAAAGTACTTAAGGTATATAATATTTTTCATGTTAACATGAAGTTTTTCCTTTGAAATTAAAGGTTTTTTGGCATAGGTTTAAAATCTGTCTTGACTAGACATTTTCATTATAAAAAACTGATATGAAATATGGTGGGCAAACTAATATTTGCTGTTTTTAATTCTCCTTTGTGTCTGTCCTTAAAGCCAAGTTTTTAAAGAAAAGTTCTTTAGAAAGACAAATATTAATTAGGCCAAGATTATAATTTACTTTTTATGTAGGATATTTAACTTTGTGCCAACACCACCTAACTGATGTGACCAGTCATCCTTAACATGTTATCCTGGAGGAAAGGGATGTGGATAGGTCATTACGAATTCATTTCCACCCCAGAAATCACCTTGAAAGTACAAGCTCTACTAATAATGGTGGCTCTGTATCATCATTGTTAACACAGGCATTTTTAATAAAGGACTCTTGGCCAAGATTTTCTCATGCTGCTTATGCAAAACAAGTATTTTAAAATGAAAACCATAAAAATTGATAGTCAATTTCTGCCATATCTAAGATATTTATAAACAGACTATATGGCAAACATTTGCAAAAGGTGTATATGGAATGCAATTGAGCTAACAGGAATTTGGCAGTAGAAACATTAGTGTGTTAAAACATTTACAATTTTCTCTGCAATCCAGTCCAGGAGTTAAGTAGATCTTAATCTCAATTCACAGTCCCAACTATACCACAAATTATATAATTATATATCTTTTTTTTTTCCCCTTGAGATAAGAGTTTCACTTTTGTAGCCCAGACTGGAGTGTGATGGCATGGTCTTGGCTCACTTTAACCTCCGCCTCCAGGGTTCAAGTGATTCTCTGGCCTGAGCCTCCAAAGTAGCTGGAATTACAGGTGCCCGCCACCACACCCAGCTAATTTTTGTATTTTTAGTAGAGATGGAGTTTCACCATGCTGGCCAGCCTGGTCTCGAACTCCTGATCTCAAGTGATCTGCCTGCTTCGGCCTCCAAAGTGTTGGGATTACAGGTGTGAGCTACCATGCCTGGCCTTTTTTTTAGAGACAGTCATGCTATGTCACCAGGCTGGAGTACAGTGGGGGTACAGTGGCCTCATGATAGTTCACAGCAACCTTGAACTCCTGGGTTCAAGTGATCCTCCCACTTCAGCCTCCCAAGTAGCTGGGACTGCAGGTACACACCACCATGCTCAGCTAATTAAAAAATTTTTTTGCTTCAGGGCATGGTGGCTCATGCCTGTAATCCCAGCACTTTGGGAGGCCAAGGCAGGTGGATCATCTGAGGTCTGAAATTCAAGACCAGCCCGGCCAACATGGTATTGAAGTGGATCATGAAACCCTGCCTCTACTAAAAATACAAAAATTAGCTGGGAGTGGTTGTGCACATCTGTAATCATAGCTACTTGGGAGGCTGAGGCAGGAGAATCACTTGAACCCTGGAGGCGAAGGTTGCAGTAAGCTGAGATGGTACCACTGCACTCCAGCCTGGGCAACAGATGAGACTCTGTCTCAAAAAAAAAATTTTTTTTTTTGTGGTGATGGGGTCTCGTTAGGTTGCCCAGGCTGTTCTCAAATGCCTGGCCTCAAGCACTCCTCCTGTCTTTGCCTCCCAAAGCACTGGAATTACAGGTCTGAGCCACCCTGCTGGCTGTATGTATCTGCTTTCATCCTACCTAGTGGCTAGTTCTTTTATTGCCTCTGTGGTAAAATGTAATACCACTTTGAAATGATGTAGTAGAAATAAAATATTTCACCTGGTACTATATGACAACTGCTGGAATGTTGGGCTTTTTGTCATTAAGTGTGGTGATTTTGTCACTTAATTACTTGTTTTAGTATAAATGCTTTATTTCTGTAGTGTATTTCTTAGGCAGTTAAATTTTTTACCTGCTATTAAGTAAAAATTTTAATCTGTGTTTTTAGGAATTCATTGTTAATGCTTAACCAAGGATTTACTTATATTCAGAGCATAAAAATTTGGGTCATTCATTCAGTAAACATTGAGCATCTATTGTATGTCAAACACCGTGAGGGTTTTAGAATAACAATAAAAACTTGGTTGTGCACTCCAGAAAATGTATGACCCTTTTAATGTACTTTTGTAGGTAATGTTTTAACATGTATATTGTCTTCTGTCTTCTAATGGAATTGATTTCTGCTTTTTGAGAGCTTTCCCCAATTGTCTATGTTTTCACAGTAATTTTCATTCTCATGGAACTCCATTATTGTATTATTTCTTTCTCTATTGTTCTTTCAGACTTTGTTATGGATTGTAGACTTCTATTGGTCCTAATTCCTCTCCAAATTCCAACCGCAGTCCTACATAAGCTAGCTTTTGTCCCATCTTCTCATCAAGGTCTCAATGGCTTTTTTCACTTACTGGCTAAGTTTTCTTTGCCTCCACCTGTTTTATCCAAGTTCACATTTTTGGTTAGTCTTTCAGAATCTTACAGGTAACCTCTCCAGAAATAAGAATCTTTTCATTCTTTTTCTCCTATATTTGATCAGCTGGGAGAGTTCACTCTTTTATTTCTCATTATTTCTACCAAGTTATATCTATGAGTGGTTCCCAAATGATCATAAAGATCCAAAGTGTACTGAGGATTCACAGCTACAGGATCCTTCTCAAGGGAGTAATCCTAGGAGGGAAAAACAAATCTAAGCAAATTCATAAATAACAATGACTAAGTCAAATGAAGGAATTAGGTCTAAAAGACATTAGATTTCTATAGTACATACTCTCACATTTCTTGTGCATACTAAAAACGTACTCTTAAGATTAATGGAATAGGAAACTTTTACATTCAGAAAATACAAGGCAATTCACTTTTGATTTCTTTTATTTGTTAAAATAGTCACACTCATATACACGAAAATATTTGACCATGATGCATTCATTTACTGGGGCTCTTGCCATCTTGTGGCATCCAGGATCCTGGCTGATAGGTTTTACCAGTGCTGCTGGGAGACACTGAGGGTTCTTCCTTTCCAAAGTATGGAGCAGAGGCATGTCCTTTAATTTGAGTGTCAGCTGGTGGAGCCAAGAGTTCTTCATTGGTCTCTTTACTAAGGACTTTTTCTTTTTCATAAAACTCTCGGCTTTTTATTTTGATTTCTTCTCTGTATTTTTCATTCTTTAGTATTTCCTGCATGTATATATAAATGGAAGAAATTATCAAATTTCTAGTTAAAAAAATTAAAAAGTTTTTATGAAAATGGCCAATAAAAATAAAATACATATCATATACATATATGTACATACATACTTTGCATTTAAATAATAAACAGATACGTATATGTTTGAAAAAGCCGTATGATTACATACTAGTGTTACATAAACAGTTTGTCCTGATTTTATGCTATAATAGACATGAAACACCACATAGTAGAAATATTTACTACCCAAAAAATGAAACAAACAAATGTGAAATTACACGAGAGCCTAAGAGACGCTATGAAAAATTTCCTAAGCCTAACACTGATTTCTGCCTTAAAACACATCAGTGACTATACTTTTCCACTGGTGAGAAAGAAGTGCTGTGACTACCCTTTTTTTTCCTTTGCTGTTCAAATGTGTGAATGCTAACATCACCTTCTATAGTACCAGAACCAAGCCCTATCTATTAATAGTTCCCTTTCTCCTCTGGGGAGGTATGGCAGGAAAGGCGGGACATAGGAATGGAATCAGGGTTTGGCATGCCCTAGACACCGTTGCAAAGAGGCACTTTGCTATTGGAAATACTTTCTCAAATCTGTGCAGAGTTTGTACAATGCAGTACTGTTCCTCAATTTCTGTCTAGGAGGATCTATTCCAAAAATTACAATCAATCCTTTGTTACTGTATTTTCTTTAATAAAAGACCACATTTAAGAAGTATCATTATAGCATTTAAAAAGGCAAACTCCACACGCAGTGACAAAGATGTTAAAATTTGAAAAGATAGGTATCTTAAAAACAAATGCAATACAGTAGTTACATCTTTGGTCTTTATTCATTCCCTGTTTTTACAATGCATTTCTAAATGTGTGCAAATAATTAATGTTCTTTTTGCTTACCTGTATTATCTGATTTTTAAGAACATGTTATTTGTAATGTGAAATTAGAATGTTAATGTAACTAATATCTTGACAACAGTGACCAAAAAAAAAGTTCTCTCAAGCATTTTTAAAATTTCAAAACTTTCAAAAAATGACACTTAAAGGGCCACATCTGAATATCTAAATGTATGCTATTACCTTTCTGTTTCTCAAGTGAATTTCAAGGAATATTGACTGTATAGTCCTTTAAAAAAGTAAGCTCCAATACTAAAGTAACATTTAAAATAACAGTTTGGGCCAGGAGCAGTGGCTCACTCCTGTAATCCCAGCACTTTGGGAGGCTAAGTCAGGTGGATCACCTGAGGTCAGGAGTTCGAGACCAGCCTGGCAAACATGGTGAAACTCCGTCTTAAAAGAAAAAATGACAGTTTGTACTTAACGGGGGAATTTGTTTTGTGGTTTTTGTGTTACAGACTTAGTTTTAGAAATGACGAAGCGCATATCTAATAAAACTTCTTCCTCAAAGCAACTATGTACAGGAAAGAACAATAATTATAAATATTCTTGTAATTTTCACAACACAGAGCAATTCCCCATGAGTAGTTTAATCACCACAGTAACTGATCTTCCAGGCAGTTGTTACAATGAGGGTGAGAGTAGAGAAATCAGGTTTTCTTTTTCCTATAGCCTCTAGAATTCTTATGTAAGGTGACAATATATCACAAAGGAAATTCCTCCATATCATACCGGAAATAGCGAAAGTAGAAAAAATTCAAGTTCCTGTGTCTTAATAGAAGCTCGTTCCTTGGAGTAGAATGAAAGGTTCAGAACCAGGTTAAACTTGCACTAGTAATCTACCTCAAGTAGCAAGAGGATACTCAGAAATTGGTCTAGAGCTTGCTTGGGTTTTTGTTTACCAGTCACATCACCTACTTTATTTGCATCACCTCTATAGTTGCAGTCTTAGAACTGGTAAATGCCTGTGCTTTTTGATAAAAAGAAAATGGAGGGCAAAGATAGGTTCTCGTTTCTCCTGCCTTCACATAATTTCTCTTTATTCAACATTACTCTTCTAAGACTTTCTTATAATCGCTATTGAGCAAAGGAAAAGCCAATCTGAGTATATTAATTATTTTTACATATGAAGATGGATTAAAGATTTCAGAGTTGAAATATATAGAGACTATGTTTTCTAAAAAGGAATTTCTTTTGTTTTTCTGAAAAAATACAACTGTTACCAGGCAAAATTAAACAGAACATAAATCATTTATGAAAATAAATACAGTCTTGTAAATATTTAGAATTGAATGTCCAGGTGCTATGGCTCATGCCTGTAATCCTAGCATTTTGGGAGGCTGAAGTGGGTGGATCACTTGAGGCTAGGAGTTGGACACCAGGCGGGCCAACATGGCAAAACCCTGTCTCTACTAAAAATACAAAAATTAGCTGGGCATTATCGTGCATACCTGCAGTTCCAGCTACTTAGGAGGCTGAGGTAGAAGAATCACTTGAACCTGGGAGGTGGAGGTTGCAGTGAGCTGAGATTCCACCACAGCACTTAAGCCTGGGTGACAGAGCAAGACTCCATCTCAGAACAAACAAACAAACAACAACAACAACAACAACAACAAAACTATTTGGGATTGATAAGAAAGTAGTCAGGTGGAGAAAACAGGATAGGAATTGTACACCTTGAAGACTCTTAAGAAAGTCTATTTTCAGGCCAGGCGCGGTGGCTCACAGCTGTAATCCCAGCACTTCAGGAGGCCTAGGTGGGCGGATCATGAGGTCAAGAGATTGAGACCATTCTGGCCAACATCGTGAAACCCTGTCTCTACTAAAATATAAAAATTAGCTGGGCATGGTGGCACGCGTCTGTAGTCCCAACTACTTGGGAGGCTGAGGCAGGAGAATTGCTTGAACCCAGGAGGCGGAGGTTGCAGTGAGCTGAGATCATACCACTGCACCCCAGCCTGGTGCTTGGCGACAGAGCGAGACTCTGCCTCAAAAAAAGAAAAAGAGAAAGTCTATTTTTCAAGTATAAATTCCCATGAAGCAAGTATTTTCCCTTACAATTCCTTGGAAAAATATCACCTTATATTTCCATATATTTATCAAATAACAGTATGTTTCAGTGTTTTTGTAAGGATAAAGCAGGAATGAGGGTCTTTCTTCACATAAATATTTGTATTTTAAAAACAAATATTCATCATTTCACATATTTATCTTGCTGCCAATAAATATTTTTCTTCAACATTTAAAAAAAGATGGCTGAATGGTATTATATCACTAGTATACCATAATTTACTTAACAACTCCCCTACTGATGCTTCAATATTTCACTTCTTCATTAAAAAAATAACATTGTGATGATCATCCACATGGGTAATTCTTTGACTCAGACAGGGTTCCAATCCCAAATCTACCATTTACTAGCTGTGTGACACCAAGAAAGCTACTTAACTTTTTTAGTCTCAGTTTCTTTATCTGAAAATGGGGCTTATATGCATAAGAGTATTATGTTTCTTAAGATAGCTATGTATTACAAGGTGAGTAAGCTTTTATAAAACAATGCCAAATGGGCCGGTGTAGTGGCTCACATCTGTAATCCCAGCACTTTGGGAGGTGGAGTTCAACACCAGCCTGACCAACAAGGCAAAACCCTGGCTCTACTAAAAATACACAAATTAGCCAGGTGTGGTGGTACACTCTGTAATCCCAGCTACTCTGAAGACTACGGCATGAGAATAGCTCCAATGAGGTGGAGGTTGCAGTGAGCCAAGATCATGCCACTGTACTCCAACCTGGGTGACAGAGCAAGACTGTCTTGAAAAAATTAAATAAATGAACAAACAATACCAAATGGACGTATTTCCTTTTGCTCCCCTCAAGTAACCTCTTGAGTTCCCTTAAAGATTGAAAAGTTTATGCAGATTACAGATTTTTCCATATTCTACTGTAAGCCAAACATTATTGACTTAAAAATTGAATCTTGTTTATATGTGACTATGTAGGTATAAATATTTATAACTCAAGTAACTCATATGTATACTCTTCACAGTATTATTCTCTGAACATTTCTCAATAGTGGCACAGAATTTGGGCTCTGAAGCCAGACCACTGAATACAAATCCCAGTTCTTCCAATTACCAGCTGTGCAACCCTGTGAATATTACTTAACTTCCCTGTGTCTCACTTCCGTGTTGTGTGAAATGGAGATAACATGTCTTCTTCAATGGGTTGTTGTAAAGATTGGGAAAGAACTGGCTACTGGGCAGTAATAGTACAACAGAGGAAGGTACAAATAGATTTTTAAAAAGTGAGTGTTTATCTCATTCTATTAAAAAATAAACATACCTAACTTGTACCTATCTCTCTTTGAGATGGGTAGAGGTGTTACTAAGTAAGAGGTAATCTACTAGTTTCAGACAAAAGATGGAAAAACTGGCACCAGACTAGTCCTCCTGCCATGACACAACTAGAAAACTGGACAAAAATACATTTTTCAGATACTGGACAACAGGCAGCACAGTAGTGTGATCCCCAAAGGGCATCAATGAGAAACAAATGAGATAAGCCCTGTATCATCCCAGCTTTCTGGCTGGAGGCACATTACTGGCTGCAACACAGGGTTGGGGAACCCAAGCAGAAAATGGTGATTTAGGGAGAGAGAGAGAGAAGAATTGTTTAGTGAGTCAGAGAAAGCTAGAATATGCTGGGATATGTTAGGCAGAGTACCAGGATACACAGAGCAAGTTTTAGAAATTTGCATAGTAATCTACTTGAGAGTTCAGCTGAAAATTAAGCTGTCCATGTGCGGGGTGAAACTTCACAAAGCCAGGAATGACAACTTTTCACTGAAGAATACTGGGGAACTATAGGCTGAAAATTACTGGAGTTTGCACTGGACTAGGAAAAACTCAAGTTCTAACCAGCCGGGGAGAGTTCACTGAACACCTGAGGCATTATAAAGACCTCAGAAGGGTCACTCAGGTGTAGGGCTAAACTAGCTTGGGAGTACAGCCTATTTAAGACCTGTGCTGTACAATACAGTAGGCACTAGCCACATACCACTTAAATTAAATGAAAAATTCAGTTACTGAATTATACTAGCCACATTTCAAGTATTTCATAGCCAAATATGACTAGTGCCCACTATATTGGAAAGCACAGTCATAAAACATTGCCATCATTGCAACAACTGGGATTTGACTCTACTGCTCTAAAGCCACCCTAACAAAACTTAAAAATAAGATTCTAGCCAGGCATGGTGGCTCATGCCTGTAATCCCAGAATGTTGGGAGGCTGAGGTGGGTGGCTTTTTTGAGTCCAAGATCAAGATCAGCCAGGGTAACATGGCTATTACCCAGGAGTTCAAGATCAGCCTGGGTAACATGATGAAATCCTGTTGCTACAAAAAAATATGAAAAGTAGATAGGCCTCGTGACATACAGCTGTGGTCCCAGTTACTTGGGAGGCTGAGGTGGGAGGATCATTTGAGACTGGTAAGTCAAAGCTGCAGTCAGCTGAGATCGCACCACTACACTCCAGCCTGGGTGACAGAGTGAGAGCCTGTATCAACAACAACAACAACAACAAAAGCTTCCAAAAGTGTGGGCTGATTCACATGTCAATTAATAGCCTTCCAGAACAAAACTCAGTATTTTCTAAAGGCAGACAACAAAATTGAGATACTATACATAATATTTCAATGTTCATCATGTAATCAAAAGGTGAAGCGGAAAGTATGACCCAAAACTAGTCAATAGAAGTAGACCTAGACATGATAGAAATGGTGAAATCAACAGACAAGGACTTTATCACAGTTACTATAAAAATGTCTAAAGATTTAAAAAAAAATCATGAGGAAAGAAATGGGAACTGTAATAAAGGACGAAATATAACATCGACATGAAAAACAACCTACGAAATAAAAAAATTGAGTGCTTAATGGTAGATTAGATACTGTAGAAGAACAGGGAATCTGAATATAAGACAATGGAAAATACATAAACTGAAGCAAGAGAGAGATTTTAAAAAGGCTAAAAAATGAACAGAGTCTCAGTGAGCTATTGGACAATACTATGCAGTCTGACATACATGTAGTCACAGAAGGAGAGGAGAAAATAATGACTAAAATATTCCAAAGAGATAAAAACATAAATTCACTGATCTTAGAAGCTCAACAACTGCAAGCAGGATAATCACAAAACCAAAGCACATCTAAATCAAATTGCTAAAAACTAATGATAAAATCTTAAAAACAGACACAGGAAAAAAGACACTTATACAAAGATAAAGATAATAAATAACATTGAGTTCTCATCAGAAAAAACGTACAATTCTCTATCAAGCAAAAATATCTTAAAAATGAAGATATTCTAAGAACATTTTCAGAGAAAAGCTGAATTTGTCACAAGTAAACCTGTACTACAAGAAATATTAAAGGAAATACTTCAGCTGAAGGAAAATGATACAAGATGGAAACCTTGTAGAATAAATAGCAGTGAAAATGATCAGAATGAAGGACTTCATTGTAGAGAAAAACACCAGAGTTTTGGACACTCTGCTTGGTGCTAGATGTCCTGAAACTCTATGTCCACCCAATCTGAGTTCCCTGAGCACATGAGGAGCATTGTTACACTGTCCATTGAAACTGCCAATATGGATTTTGAGGCCAGTCATTATTACGTTGCCAAGCAAACTTCTCAAGCTTTATAAACCTGGTTCAGGAGATGCACAGCCTGAAAGGCAAGAGGGCTGTCGTTACCATGTGGACCCTCAAATTAACGACACTCTGCCTCATTACCTCCTTATCCCCATCAACAAAAAAGTCTCTGCTCACCAAAGCTTCCATATTTTACATCATTGTCCTGGCTCCCATGGCTAGGGATATACAGCAGTATATCAACAATGGCCTTCTTGTCCATCAGAAGCAGAACCTCATGGAGTTGACAAATGAGGCATGCATGAGGTCAACCCCTTCTAAGAGGGTCATATAAAGAGTCTCCTGGAGTGAAATATTGAAGAATATCATTCTCCAACAATCTCAGGGAAGAAGAGAAAGAAACCATACTGACAGAAGAAAGAAAAAAGGCATACGCTTTATCAAAATCTGTGTGTCAAAACTTTCCTTAAATGTAGGTGTTATAAATAACCAGTGTTCTGTGACAATCTCTCTCTTTTCAGGGGTGTTCTGCTGGAACAAATTAGTTTAGGCTTGAGTTGTTTATGAAGCCTTAATATTGGGAAAACAAATTATCAATTGTGAAAAGTATTACAGGGTAAGTATCCCTTATCTGAAATGCTTGGGAACAGAAGTGTTTGGGATTTTGAATTTTTTGGATCTTGAAATATTTGCTTTTTCGTACTTACCAGTTAAGTAGCCCCAAATCTTTTGAGTGCTGTAATAGTGCTCAGAAAGTTTTGGATTTTGGAGCATGTTGGATTTTGAATTTGAGCTGCTCAACTTGCATGTATTAAATGTTTGAATTTATATATTTTTCTGGTCAAAATTCCATATAAATTAACATTGTGAAGGATTAAAAAAGAGAAAACTCTAAA